AGCCTCAAGAGCGCCGCCAGGCCCAAACAAAGTGTCGTTTGGGCCTACCCGCTGGGCTGAGTGCAAAAATCAGGCCTTTAGGGCCTGTGACCCTCAAAGGTCGGGCCTTTAGGCCCTGGTGTGTCCCTCCGGCCCTAAGTCGGGTCCGGTAGGACCCGTGTGACTCGAAGATGTAACATTATCGCTGCATCTGGACCGATAGTTGTGCCAAATACAGCTTTAATGACCGGGCGTTCTATTCGGGTGAAGACGGTAGGTCCCCCAAAGCACCTACCCAGCCTCTGACTTACTCTGCCAAAACTGGCAAAACTACCCGCTAAGACCCTAAACCCTAATCAAAGCATATCCCCCCACTCGGATCCATAACCACAAAAATAGACTACTGTTTTCAACTACTAGTTCTCATCCCCATACATCCATTGCCTCAGACTAGCAGGGTAGGAATTTCTTTTTGCAGTCTTTAACAAGTTTGGTTTCAGTCCACAGTCAGCCAAGGAGTTAGCGTAACAGTATGAGCAACCTAGAAAAGTGTGCCAGTAAATAGGAAAGCCACACTGCCCTTAGTTACCCAAGCACATCCGACGGCCCAACAACCAAGAGGAGCAGGTATGAGGCAGAAAACCTTTTAGCATTACAGCCAGAAGCTCAGCAGTCTCAATGTCATCGGTGGAACCCAACCGCAAGAGTAAGTCAATTAGGCCAGATTAGGCAGGGGTGGGGCGTGGTATATCCTTCCCTAGGGAAGTAATCAAGGCCGTCCACTCGGGCCTTCCAACCATAATGGGGAGAAGCGTAAAGCGAGTCCATGACGTTTTCTTTTGACTGGCCGGTGGAATAGGAACCAGACTGAAGCTCCCAGAATGGACATGGAGCCAGAACATTAAGGTTCTGTTAAAAAAAGTTTTTAAAAAATGGGACGATACACAGAAGATTAGCATGGCCCCTGCGCAAAAAAAATGACACGCAAAGAGATAACAACAACAAAGAAAGCTACTGATCAGTTTCATGTACATCAGGATTCTGATCTGGCTCTTGGTGGATCCTGCCAGTAGTTCATAGGTCCGTACATCTGGGCCAAAGGCCCTCCTCCGTGCAAGTACAGATTCGAGCCGGCGACCTAGGCCTCAAGAGTGTTACATGCTGCGCCTGCACACGAGGGCCATTTTCAGGCCCTGTGTCGTTTCAGCCTGAAAGCCTGAAAACAAGGGCCTACAGGCCCTGTGTC